TGATTCGAAAGGCAATTGGAGACAAGCTTTTAAAAAAAAAATTGTGTTTTAGATATGTTACTTGCTCCAGGGAAAAAGGAAATGCACCATCTCTTTGTGAGACCAGAGATTCACATATTTCATCACTTTCCTAATTTCGACCCACCCCTCCCTTTCACTCTCTAATCCGTTAAGTGACTGGTAGACTGCCATTATTCCCTAAATGAGTGAAACGAAACTGACATTGATGAGGCTTTCATTGCAGAAGGCTTCTCTACTGTGTGCCATGAGAAGGCAATCAAAGTGACTATACAAAGCACAGAGCAGAGCATATCTATTATCATTATGGTCAAATTGAGTTCATGCACGGTTAATGAATAGTGCAAATTCATCTCATGGTATGTTCTTTGATTTGAACACTAAGGTCTTTGATGTTTAGGAGTTGAGTGTATTTAATTTCTAATCAAAGACAAATGAGGAGAATTGAAAAGATGAAAGCTTTTAGTGATATCGTGGTGAATACCTCTTTAATGAAAGCATGTCTGCAGACTAATATTCAATACAATTATGGCCTTTATTCTGAGAAAGGAGAACCTTTACAGTAATTGCACTACTAATGAAAATTAGTTTAGAGCATACACTGTACAAACTAACCTTTGAAACAAATATGATTCAAAAGAGAAAAGACTTGGATCGTGGGAGGTTCAGAGCAGTATGTACATTGAACAGAACCATTGAGGGAGTGTATCTTTAGTACTTCTTCAAAAGACATACTCAGTAATAGAAAATTAAATAATAAGGAACTCTTTTGGGATCAGGTTTCCCATTCAGATAAAGAAAGCTTCTTAACTTCAATATCCTGGATATATCCAATGTGTACATGTCAGAGAATACAGAGAGAAAGGAAAACAAAAAGAGATATGGATTTCAGTCAGGTATTCATTCATTCATTTAGGCACTCCCTACATGTAATACTCAGTCAGTCAAACTGACAAGACCCGTACACCAGATCGACTGACAACACATACAACTAAAATCAAATTATCCCAAATAACCAAGAATCGGTCAGTTTGGGCTAGTTTATTACGATTTGGTCTAGGGGTGTAATTAGGGTGTAAATGCAGCCAAACAAAAGAAAAAGAAAATGCAGCAGCTTATAATCTAGAACATCCTGCATTCACTCAAATAGGTGATGAGGATCTGAAGAAACCCTGTACATGGGCTTTAATCAAAGCAGACTGGGTAAATCAAAGTAAAGGAAGAAAGTATTGACTTTGAGAGGAGGTATACGGGTATCTAGTATCAACAATCCATAAGATCTGTGTCAAACATGTGCATGATCCAAATATTGCAGACCAACGTAGACATTAGCTTCAGGCTAATGACTCCCTTTCTAGTGCATTGTACATACCTCACATGTTTCCACGTATTGTTATTTATATCTGGAAGTACCATTTGGTTTATTATAAACACATTCATGAGCAAGGGTAAAATGTGACATGATGGAGAGTGCAACATGCATAAATCTTCTTAATCTACATCGAAGAAAAGTGGGAGCAAATGATGAAACTTATAGACACTGGGAATGATGAAATGTCTACCCATATACCTGAGCATACAAAGATAAATAAATACATGATTTCTTCTACAAGGTTTGTTCATTGTAGTTTCATCAAATTTTGTTATAAAGAAATACAAAAAGTTGAAGAAAGAAAGAAAACTCTACAGACTGAGGAAAAAAACAGTTGCAGTCTTTCTCAATCTTCAGTAGATAAGACTTGGCTCATAAGAAGAAAGACACCCCCATGCTGTTCAAGAGATGATATTAAATTACTTATGAACCAGAACTTAAATCTCTCCTTGGATTTACTTACCTCGTAATTGGTAGATCAATACTAAATCAGAATCTCAAAAAGCAAGTGAAAAGCTGTAGAACCCAATATCACAAATATCAGGACTCCTACAAAAACTCTGAATATTCATTCCAATGCACACTAAATCAGGGTTGTACCGATGGCATAGATGTAATGTCTTTGTTGGAAAATACAGACTGGTGACTGTCTGTCCGTTATTTTGTGCCAGATATGACTGCAGGCAGGATTTTCCCCTTGTTCTACATGCAAATAGACAGAATCATTAAAAATATCCAGAGACTAGACAGTTATCACTCTGTAATTCTCCACACGTTCATCTTTCATGGAGACTATACCATTAAAGGCAATCAGTAGTCGGTCGGTCATCACTTTGTTCTCCTCCGCATGTACGTCCAGTGTCCAGAGGGTCAGTGAGCTAGGTCTGCTTGACCAGGCATGGGGCTTCTGCCTGCTGCCAGTCTGTCGCTATTCTGATTGATCTCACATCATCAAATCGGATGTTAGCAGTCCACCCCCAAATCCCTGCTATAAACAGCCCACTATGTCAACAGCACATTATAGCCATGGCTAATCTCAAAAACAAACTTTGACCACACTACTGACTGACTGGTCACTAACTGGTCACTTCAAACATAGATGTCTCCATGAAGTCCATGGTTCCAAGAAGCTGCATCCATGGATGCTACACTCGCTAAACAGTAAACACAAAGGTCAGAGATCATAAAAGCAGAACTAACTTTAGTTCAGGTTGAAACCTAAAAAAGTGGGTAGAGAGATTTTCCTTTTTAAAGCAATAATCAGTAATATCAAAATAATTTACAATGATTTATCATCCCTAAATCAATTTCACAATTTCATTTTATGATTTTAAATATGTTTCAGCTTTATAGTACTGTAACCAAAATACCTTGGAGCAAAATACTAGCCAAAGCTGAATAATTTCCATAAAGCAAATGTTCACCTATGTAAGATTTAGCATTTAAGCAGTGCCTCATGACACAGTGCACCAGAGCCTCTAAATTTCAATACAGATCAATTAAATTTAAAATGTACAGAGGGATCCTAGAAATTAAATCTGAGCCCCGAGCATTTAGCCCCAGTGTAAGATAAAGCAAAAAGATATAAAATAAAAGAAGAAAGAAAAATGGGTCTTCAAATGATTAAAGCTCCTTGGTTGGGGGTAGCAAATCTTTACATTATACTTCTGACACAAGGACGATCAAACAATCAAAAGCAGCTCGGTGAATAGTCAAACTAACTGCGTGCAGGAGATAAATATTAGTCCTTTGAGTTAGAGGCCAGACCATATCAAACTTGGAGTCATAGTACGTGATGTAAGGGGGATGCAAAGACACTCCCAGCCAATGTAAATGATAAGGTATGGTATGCAGGAGGGCTAATGCATACTAAGTTTGTTGAAACAGATGGGGTCAATTGCATAGTACTTGAGGTACATTTGTAGAAAGCAGGTGAAATATACATGGTATCAAGGATAAGCCTTGGATACTCTCATTAGAGACATGCTATAGAATAGTATCCTTGCCATCATCATGACTGCAGGGAAAGCTAATCTATGATTATCACTGCTTAAAGATAAAGTTGAGTTCTGGTCATGATATCGCATTGTGAAAGAAACGGTGTGGAATCGATCAGAAAAAAGTTGATCATGAAGCATTTAAGTATTGGTGTGTACTGCAAGGTTCTGGAGTCATCAAAATGATTTTAAAACTAGATTTGTAATACTTGTTTGGAACAAGTATAGGTGGGCTGATCCAACAAAAAATTGAGACAAAATAAAGGGTACATTTGAAATAGCTTTTTGTCTCAGCTACAACATATTCGGAGTTCAGCGTAAATGAAGCTAAAACGACGTAGATATTGCTCGCGAAAGACGGGAATGTAGAATCAAGTTTTGAAAAAAAGTCATGTCCCATAGAGAATACACGCTAAATGTGAAAAATTGACATGCCTCCTTTAATCGCAAAAATACGCCATGATGCCTTTGTCAAAATAAAGAATAATTAGAACTGCATCTGTAGAAAATTGTCTCAGCTAGAACGTATCAAAATTTGGAAGAAAATCGATCAATATTTACAGAGATACAATCAATTTTCTATAAATATGCTGACGTCATAATATGCAAATTGGAATTTTGAGTTCGGAGGCCATTATGATGACGTCATGAGTTAATTGAGGATCAAATGAGACATGAACAAATATCTCCGAATCATACTCTATTAAAATATGAAAAAAATTGGCGTCACCTTGCATTCTAAAGAGCTACAATGTATTTTGTATAGGCATGTTTTTGCCCATATATGCTATGTATTACAAGAGCTCGCGCGCACGGAAATTTTGTTTAACGGTCGATCATTCCGTTTTTAATAGTCATAAAGAAACAACCATGGCATCTATTTGTTTGTAAAAATATGTAGAATATTATGAAGAAAAAAAAATGGCGATTCTATGTTGTGTAATAGTTTTACGCGCGAGAACGCGCGCGCATGTGCGTGTGCGCGATTTTTTATAAAATGCTTAAAATGGCCTCAAACGTATGCAAAATGATTTTGAGACGATTTTGAGCATTTTAAAATTTTGCGCGCGCATTGACGCGCGGACGTACGCGCACGCGCGCGTTCTTTGACCTGAAATTGACCGGACGGATATTGACCTTGATCATGATAAATATGAATAAGAAATAACTTTTGGTTATGAAGATATGATCATAAGTTGATTTTCGTAAAATTTTACAAAATGGCGCCTAGATGACGTCATCAGTAATATTTAATGTTGAAAACGTTATTGTGCTTTGTACATATGCCTATACATATGTGTGCTAAATTTCAAGGCTTTTGATTGAGCCATTTTCAAGTTATCCTGCCAACAAAAAAGTGGTTAGAAATAAGAAAAATAAATAATAAATAAATAAATAAATAAAGGCAATTCTAACGAAATTATAAGGTGGTCTGTACGTTATACAGCCCACCTGAATATAGCGCCTAGTGTAACACTAACTAATCTTTGCACGATCTTTGCATGCAGGATAAATCGAGAACAGGAAAATACATCGTTCTGAACCAAATATTCCTTTTAATTCAGAGAACTTTATCCAAAAACACAGACAAAAACATCAGTCTTCTCACATACCTTCAAGTTGGAATGTCTTGCAAGTTTCCAATTTTTCTGATATTCTAAGAAATCACCTGACCTGGTTCCGGTTTCTCCTTTTTCTTCAAATCAGACAATGAATTTTTAAAGTTCTTGCTCAAAATCTAGATCCACAACAAGAGTTGTAACTCCGCAATGTCAATGTCCTTCTGGTGTAGTTGAAAGGTAGGTAAAGCTGGACAATCTGTGAGTCAGTCCAACGCACGAGTCACCAAGCCCCTCCTCTTCATCAGCTGGTGATCAATGACAAAGTACTCAACCACAACAGCTATAACAAATGAGCTAGAACAAAGGTGTAGGTCTCGGCTGGCTGGGTTCAGTTGTCTCTGCCAGATCAAGAACATGGTTGACTTCATTCAGCCATGGTAAAGTGTTCCTAACTTCCTTAGACCTTCAAGGAACCCACCTTTTGTGCAGCGTCCTATTAAATCCTGTCACCATTTTATCCCTGGACAACAGGGAGGATAGAGGTATTACACACCCCTCTGGTCATCCATTGTCTATTTCTTTGGATCTCCTTGACCAGCCATTGTTCTACTGGCCATTGAAGTTCACCCCTGAGTCAATGGCTTTGGTTGAATAGGTGAGAAAGCTGGACAAGCTTCAAGCCTCTGTATTCTTCTGATTTCCTATGAGAGGGGATTACTGGCCAGGTCGGATACAAGTGGAGACTTGACATGATAGCACAGATCACTAGCTCAAAAGGTCTGCCGTCATCAGCTTGAGATTGCCAAATATCCCGCTATTTGAACTATCCCGATCGCAAATTATCCAGCTAATTCACGTTTTCATCAGCCCTCAATTCAGATAATCATCCCAAGATATATTGGGCTAGTTTGCAAAATATCCTATTTGTCTGGTGCGCCTTCACCAGTCCGAAGACTCGTACTATGCATGAACGCTGAGCAAAATATCTCAAGCTATTTTCTCAAGCTGGAGTTTCGAGTTTCAAGGTCAAGTCTCGAGGTAATGAAAACATGATTTGTAACTTCAGGCTTTATTTTCCCAAATCAGAAATAGCGAGCTATTTGGCAATCTTGAGCTGATGAGGACATCCCTCATGACTCCTCTTCACTTCTCTTCTTTTTTCTCGGCACTGATGTCTTGTACAGACATGATAGCGAATGCAACCTGGGCAAATACCACACCATCTTAAAATCTTATATAAGGACAAATAGTACGTAATGAGATGAACAATTACTTACAGAACACTCCTATTTTCCTATTAAACAATTATAGCGCAAAGACTTGCCATCTATCTCTATTGTAGAATAATCTCTGTTGGTATTCTGATACCGGTACTCAAATCCTCTTCTACTATTGATGCCAACTAATACTTGATGGATTAACCAATGCAAGTCTTCCTTACATTCTACTTATCTTTCTTCTGCAGAAAGAAATAATTACTTAGAGTTGATGATAAAAGAACAAGTCAAGACATGTGTGGTAGCAAAGTTCTCCATGTAAGTCAGCAGAAGTGGATGAATTAAGCTTGCCTACTTAATTTTTAAGGTTTGTAGAAACCTTAACCACATGTAATAATAATTCCAAACGATGAAAAATTTCTGTACCACTGCTTTAACAGTAAAAAAATTAAAAATAAATCTGTCATCTGATACAGTTCAATAGAAAATGGAAATTACTTTGTGTAACCTCTTTAAGAACGGTAGCCAGGATGATCAATAATCTTCATAGACTTAATAGACTAGCACACATATTATTGCTTTTGTTTCTACTATATCCCAGATAACTGCAGAGCAAAATTCCAGTGTAGTCAATGTCTGTACATCACCATGGTTTCAAAGTATCAACAAAGTGTAACATCAAGACCTTTCTTCTCTGAAACTCCTCTTTGACGTACATTGTGGTATGTTTGCCTCTTTTATGACTCCAGCACAGCGATGGCCAAACAAACTTAATTCTTCCCAAACTTTACAAATGTCATTATCAATCTACCAACACTGACCAATGACATGGCTGCCAAGTTAAACATGGCCGAGTTTTACTTACCGCACTTGTGTTTGATAAGATCCCTGCATCAAATTCTCTGACAAACACTGCCCAGCCGATGCCGACTTGTAAATGATGAAAAGAACTATCTAACAAATCGTAGCAGATTAAAGGTGACTCGTATGTTGGCTCATCAGGTTTTATTTTCAAAGAATACGAAGATGAATGAGGCGGCAATGCCAGACTATCACATAACAAAAGGAAACAAAGGAACAAAAGTATGCCAAACATGCAACTCCGTTTTGTTACAGACTCACCCTGTTAGAGACTGGATAATTCAGTCAGAGCCTTGTAGCTTTCTCTCAAAGTTTAACACACCCCGAATGAAGAGTCTTTGAAGATGCAGGGACATCAATTACAACATGAAAAAGTATAGAATGTGGAAACATTCTCATCTCCTTTGTAGAGATCGGCCAAGCGATCCATTGACAAAGCAGATACAGACCTCGGTCTGGCAGAAAGCTAATTCATATCATTTGATCGTTCTTTATCCTATAGAAAAACAAGGTGGCTGCTAACAAAATGAATATAATAAGAGACACAAATGAGGTCACCGAACAGAAGCAATCAGCTATGATAACGGCTTGTTATCCATGAAGCTATACCTCAAGCCAAGGATAAAGTGATAAAGATTCACAGCCCATATCTCAATACTTTTTATTCAGTTTCATTTATATAATGCTGCAAATAGCCATGTTATGCTAATTCACTTTTTCTTTTATTCATGTTTCGGTAGAGGTATAGGGGAACCAGAATGGTTAATTATAGGCTCATATCTTTTGACAAAGATATTTTACTGGCAGATATTGCTGCCATCCCAAACATTACAATCACATGAAATATCAACCTTGAATATAAATTGGAGACTGTTTTTCTTTCCTTTTTATCCATCTAAATGAGAAATAGAACAAATAAAATATTATTAAACCCTAAGAAAAAACAAAACAAAGTCCTTTTCTAAATAATTATTTAAGTGTCTCTGTGACATTGGAATAACCTCTTTCTTGATTTACATACCTCAGTTAATTACAGATTGAGCATGACATAAGTTACAGCTTAAGAAAACAAAATATTATTTTGAAAATGCAATAAGCACAAATGTCATGATCTTCAAGCAACGAATACCCACAATATCACCAAAAGGGACAGAATAAGGAATTGGAATTGTTACAACAACACAAAAATTGTGAGAAGTTTTATTGCTCTCTGAGTCGATCAACCAGCTTTTGCAATAACACTCTAGACCCCAGCAGAAGTCAATTCTTTCTGTGTGGCTCCCCACTTTGACCAGCAATTATCACACACACTCAAATTGTATTTTCAACGAACCACTTTGGGCAATTTAGACTTAATAGTCCAAATAAAAGAAGCAAAATAGCTCAAAGCACTTAAGCTGGTGCCAATTTGGTGTAACAGTTGGCAATGTTTGAAAAACAAGCAACAAAAAAAGTTGCCACTGCTTTTCTTATTTTGCTCTATTTTCTTTCTTACGACGGTTGGGGAAAGAAATGGGCCTACTTTAAAAAATAGCGTCTATAGATTGTTTGTTCATGATATGAAAGTGGGTTAATTACAGAATAAATATTTTACCTGTTTAATCATATAATAAAAATCAAAAAATAATTTCAAAAAATATAAAAAATCAGATAACTGATTGCCTTCTTTCCACAGATGAAGATCATTATCTTTACGCTGTCAGCAAAAACACAATGTTAGATTTAAAAAAAGAAATTAAAGAATTCATCTTAGCTTACAAAAATTGTAGAATTTTGTTAAATCTGAACAGAATACAAATGATTTGTAAAGATATAAGCCCAGACACTACTCTTTTACATACAGGAGACAGTGACAATAATGTAATCTGTTGAGAGCCAGAAGGGTATTAAATCTGTATTAAGTTCCTTCTGAATCTGAGCAGACGATACATTGGAGAAGAAGTTTCAAGTAGTGCCACTTCCAAAACTGGTCATGGAACTTTGTAGGTTCAAAGAGAGTTCAATATGATAGAGCGTATCTTAAGTAATCTCCATATCCAGTATAGGGTGGAGAAGCACATTCATTATTCATGTTAATGAGTAGATCATTCAAACGGTTATTTTGGTTTAGCACGCTCAAACTGTCATGATTGTTATGATCTCATGTGCCCTGCCCCTGTTCCAGTAGCTGCCTGCATGAAGGCTGTAGGAGCTATGTATAATACCATTGTCAATGGCAGTATAGACCTTCTTGCAGGCAGATGGTTTACGAGAAAGCTAAAGAAGTAGAACTAATGATGGAATCCTCACATTCTTGAAACCTCTGTTATTCTATTAAAAACCTTGATGACATCTTGAAAGTAGGATGTTTCATTAGAGTGCACAGCCAATGAACTGTTATTTAATCCATTACTTTAAGCAGAAACATTGCCAATCTGGGTCATTTGGGTTTAAACTTACAGTGGTGTGACTTCAAGAAGTTTTGTCTATTCATACCAACACTTTGCTGATTTTTTACTCTGAATGAAATGGTTAAAAAACAAGATTCTATCTATAGTGTCACGACAATTTTGAAATCCTTCACTACATTTCAATAAGAAATTGTCACTGAAAGGTAAACAACAACACCATATATTGTGGAGCAGGGAAACTTTTACATTTTCTACTCAACGGAGTGGAAAAGCTCTGACAATAATTCCCACCTCCTAGCCTGTAGAATTCTTTGAATCTTCGGCACCACATAAAATCCTCTCTACAAAAAGCGGTAAAACTGGGTAATAAGTGAAGCCTTACATATCAAAGATTAGAGAAACCTATCATTACTGTGACAAGTTAAGGCTAGGCAAAGTACTGGAGGGTCAATGAACCCAATAAGGTAGCCCTGAATATTCTTTAACAAATTACAAATTGTAGAATGTAGATACATTTATCTTAAAAAACAAGATGTTTCAGAGTTTTTTAATCTCTAAAATAACTGCCATTTGTCTGAGGGTTGTTCAAATTTGCCTTCTTTGTTTGCTGAGACTATTAATCAAATGCATGGATGAAGATAACCATAACAGCAGTTATCTTCAAATTTATTTGATTTTCTGAGAGGTTAAACTCAATTCTTGTTTTACTTGTTTGATATCTGTGTCCATGACATGTTGGACTGTGAGATATGAAGATAGCTCAAAGCGTGCACTATTCTTCGCAATCTCCAGTAGATCCACCACCTCTCTGACGTGCTCTAACAGGGGTGACTTGACACAGGCATGCTCTAGGAACTTTTGCTTTCAGCCTTATTTTGTTGAAGATGTGGGTTAGGGGGTTTTGATAAAGTTTTAGGTAAAGTTTAGGAATTGGGTTTAGGCTGATCTGCTCCAGAAGTACCTTTTGTGGGTTTTTTCTTTGGCTTATGTGGCTGCCATGCAGATCATGAATTTCCACCATCAATGGTGTAAACTTTTACTGGTTTAGCATAAATGTGCTTCTAGGGTTGGGTGTTAATAGTACTTTAAACTTCAGATTAAATCATCTGCTGCAAGCCAGAGGGGTATTAACTCAATGTAGAATGATGTCAGTTAACACCATTCTGGTTCTCATCAGATGAGATGAAACATATCTTGAACATCTCAGTCGTAAAAGGAAGTGGTAATCGTAATGGCAGAAACACACTTTGGGGCTAGATAGGTTGCCTACTTCAACCTATAACCCTAACCCAACTCTTTAAAATATAAAAACAGTTAAACAAACCCGAGGAATAAAACTGAACTTTGCAACCTAAAAATAACTAAGCCCTCTACTTTGCCCGATTGTAGTTTTGCAACAGAAGAGATTAGGGTATGGATTCCATGTTAGTTAACTTAAGCCTGACAAAAATACCTAAACAGAAAAGCCACCAAACTGCAGAGAGGACAAATACAGACAGACAGGGTATCACTTTTCATCCCTCCTATTGTCAACTATTCAAGAGGATGTCACCTTTCTAACACCCCACACCCCCTCCTACCTCCCGTTTATAGATCTAGCTGACACAAATACTATCCCTTCCATATTCATTACATGGGATTCTCTGAGAACTAATTTCCTTTTAAATAAAAGGGGATATCACTTCTGAAAGGAAATAGGAAAGAAAGCTGCTTTTCTCCTTTCGTTTCCCCCATGGCCTGGAAGAGTTTCGAAAACAATCAAGCCTCAAATAAGAACTCATTTGACGACGTCAGAGAGGGTGAAGGAATCTGGAGCATAAAAACAGACAAGTCTCCGGTAATCCATACATTCATTAGTTGCGTAAATCTTCCTTACTCTGATACAGTGGTAGCAAATACTCAATTGCAGATGAAGAGTAATAAAAAGAGGGAAAATAGAGTATTTTTGAAAAGGGATCGATCAAATCTTGCAACAA